CTTCCATATATATATATATATATAGGGAGGGGGGCTGGGGTGGGGGTTTAGGGGGAGGGTTAGAGGGTAGGAACCGTCATTTTTACAAACGGGGCACCGTAAGTACCCCAAACGAACTGGTGTAAGCAACTGGTGTATAAGTAATGTTGGTCTTATGGGGGACCATCGATCACCCTTAGGGATTCGCTACTGTGCTTAGCACGGTATCGGGTATTGACAGCCCAACCTGACGAGGTACATGAGTCGTGTATCTTGCGAAGCCCCTCCTGTCCATCCACCGCTCATAGTGGGGCTCCGCACTGCCGTAGTGAACTGTAGGGGGTGCCCTATAAGAATCTACCTCGGCTTGGGGCTACAGATAGATGTGGTTAAATACAAAGTGTCCATCTTCCTATTACCAATTGGTTTTAGGAAGCATTTGGCATCTCTTTAACTTCAGAACTCTGTGGTTAAGCGTGCTGGAACGGGAGTAGTCCCAGGATGGGTGACCCACTAGGATTCTGGGAAGTTCCAGAAAAACGATCCTACAAGTAATTGGTGTCATTTTAGACGCTCCATATATATATATATATATATATATATATATATGTATATATATATATAATGCTTTAGTGTTACACCTTCTATGCCTTTGGTACCTTCGGATATTTAAAAGAAATTAAAGGAATATATGCTTTTACTCTTATTAATTGAAAGGATAAAGTTATTTGTACGGACCTTTTCTATCACATTTGTACAACAGAGGTTTGCACTAAAATTTTGTGTTGGTGTAAAATTAATTTTTGTTAATGCACCAACATTTTGTGTTCGTGTAAATTTTTATTTACGCACCAACACTTGTGTCGGTGTAAACAATCAAAATGTTTGTGTATAATTGCGGTGTACAAATGGAATAAATTTTTTGATGTAAGTGTTGCATGGTCCTAATTGAAAACATGCTTGGGCTGTTGGGCAAACACAACGTAGTGTGTCTCCTGCTAGTAGTATGTATAATTAGGTAGTAATTATGAAATCATTATCTTATTAATAGAGTGAAAGAATATAATTGAGTAAAATGGATTGATTACCAATTATTTGAGATAGGGGCATAGTTGGCTGAATAGACATAAATACACTATTTAGAAAAGAAACAAACTAGTCTTATTTGAGGAAAAAACAGTACTAAATGGAGCCATTTTCACAATTATTTAACAACAATGAATAATCACCACGGTTCATGTGACATTCACTTTTAATGTCATAGCATGAATAATTAGGTTGTAACTTGTCAGCCTAACATATCTTACACGAGTGCATCCGTGAGTTTAGTTTTGTGACTTTTTTCAACTGTCCATAAAGAACAAAAAATAATAAAGACCCCTTGTACTAAAACGTCAAGCCAAATATTTAGCATCATGTGTATAGATGTCTAATACTTACTACAATTAATTGTTAAAGAAAGAACCGAAACTGTAAGAACATTCACAAACAATTAATTGCATAGCCCCATAGCACAGCAAGAAGTCCTCCTCAAAAAACAAACATCTACAATGGTGAAGTAAGATTGGCAATGTTTATTACAAGCCCACAAAAGATTTCCTGTTACTACTACGCATGACTTTCTTCAAAGGACTCCACACGATTTGCTTCTTCAATGCAACAACTGTTGGGTGCTTGGGCCTCCACGAACCTGGTTGTTGGGAAGGAGGACTCCCCACGAACTTGCTGCACCTTGGGCCGACCGGGGTAGCTTCCACCAAAGCACCATGTCTCTCCTCTTTCATTTGTGGCGAGGGGACCCTTGATCTGCGCCAGATTCTCTGTGGGTCCCAGACGAAGGACTGCCGACCGATTGAAGGATAATCTTTATTCCCAGGGCGAGCAATGGAGGAGCTCTTAACAGGAGTTATCATGTTTGGTTCTGGACGCAGGGTGGCCATTGAAGCTCTTCGCAGTGGTTGTTTAACCTGCAGGTTTCTGGTTTGAGGTGGAGAGGGTTTGACAGCAAGGGAACCCCGCCTTGCTTTTAAACCGGCTTTTGTTTTGTGAGCTATTAAGGCATTTTCTTTGGCTTCGTGAACTGTTGGAAGGAACAAGCTTCGGGCTCTTTGATGGGGGATGGATGATTGTTGGGGCACTAAGTTGGTGATTTTTTGAAGTGGGAATCTTGATCTTATTGGAACCAGTGGTGGTTTACTTTCTGTTGGTGCCGTCATCTTTCTAGAAAATGGAGGTAACGCTGCCGAAGAAGACTGATTAGAAGCAACAGCCAAAGCCCTATTTTCCTGCTTTAGCCTCACCTTCCTTTCGTCTGCTAATTTATTCTCAAGATCGCGAACCTGTTGTCATCGTGCAATTATTAATACCTAGGTCGTGCTAAATCAAAACTGAATATAGAAATGGAAAGAGAAAATTTGAATAAACCTTCTCTTGAAGATTTCTGCTTATATGTTCTCGAGCAGCAAGCCGCAATTGCAAAGACTGCACGCTGTCTTGCAATTTCTTCATTTCTTTCTCATCATGTTTGCTTTTTTCTGCCTGTTAATATACACATAAGAGAGCATTAGTCATAGTACTTGAGATGCCTCCCCTTCAAGAACGAAAAATCTACTTCTGCATACCATTTGTTTGTACTTGTTGAGTTCAGTGAAATCGGTTTGTCTTCGGGCAGGACCGTGCTCAACTCCTCTAACACGGCTTGCAAAGTTCAATGAGCAGAGGGTTTCCCCCAAGTCAGCTGCACTTGGACTAATTTGAACAAACATCAAGGTCTTGCAATCTCCTCCTGCATTTCAAATTAGGCATTGAGTGAATGTTATCATAAACATACAAGTTGCTAGCAAGGGGAACACGGTCACACAAATTTCCAAGATAAATATAAGCTGAAAGCAACAAAAAAAACAGTCAAACCATGGGGTAAAGGTTGCTGTAAGAGGATGAAAGATTACCTAGAGAACTCTGCAGTATATGTGTGAGCTTTGAGTTCCTGGGTAGTCCACAAGCAACACATAGTAATGGGCAAATTAGTACAAATGCACAGAGCCTAAATTCAGTACAAGTAAAAATGCTAGCAGATTGAGAGAGCATACCTATATGGAACATGAGCTGTCTTTGCTGCAAGAGCAGAAATTACATCACCAAGTGCAGATAAGGACTTGTTTATAAATTGAGACTCCTTCAACCTTTCACCTTCAACTTCAATCCTCCCAACCCTCTCACTTCCTGCCAAGTCTACTAACCAGAGATGGCTCCTCGTCCTCTGTCCATTTATTAAGTTCTCCCCAATGACGGTCACTCGCAACAAGCTACAATGATAATTGAAAAGCAGTTAGCTTCAGTTAATTTCTTCTCAGACACATCATGTCGATATTACAAAAGGGAGAAATGGACTAAATCACGAATCCATGAAAACTATACCAGTGAGAGCGACTGCTAAGTTCATTAGCATTAGTTGATCCAACCGATCTAGCTCGACTACCAGACTGGAGGAGTTCCCATACTTCATCTGTTCCATACACACGTGCTTCAACAAGTCCTGGAACTTCTTGGGTACCTTCGGCAGATTGCTTCACTTCCAACCTGCATAGTAAGGGATCCAGTAAAAAATTGCTTAGAATACAGGAGCTCTTAAAATGTTTCCTCCAGAGATAAACACAATTGCCACAGTACATGGCAGTAACATTTGAACAAAACTATAAGCCAAGGTCTAAGGAGAAGAGAAACTTACTTCTTAGTGGGTTGGTTGGAGTTCTCTATGAGAAGGTCCCTTATCTTATCATTGTACACCTCTAACATGCTGACAAACAACTCGTATTTGATGATACTGCTTCTCTCACGAGATGAGCTGAATAATTTCTCCAATGTCCGATAGTTGACTCCCCTGTTTTCAGGTGTTCCTTCCATTGTGAAGGTCTTGCCAGTTCCCGTTTGTCCATAGGCAAAAATGCATACATTATAACCATCCAACACAGAGGTTACCATAGGCATGGTTTCAACAAAAACGGCCTCTGCATTGCAGACATTGACGAATTCTATTAGTATCTAATAAAAGATTTGTCTCACAGTTAAACAAGAATGTGCCCGCTAAGAACAGTTACCTTGACCATCATCTGGTTTGAAAACGTGATCAAACCTAAACTGTTTTCTAGAAGAATCAGAGGAGACAATTTGTATCTCATTTTCATGAGACAAATCAAAGTCAACCACAGATGATGAACCATTCACAACTTCATCAGGATTTAGTGGTCTGCATCTACAGAAAACTCGTATATTGCCTTTCAACTCAATCACTTCATTGTAGAGACGTTTTTTCTCAGTGCACTCATCAAGATATCTTTTCTTCAGAAGGTCACACTCTTCTTCGAATTTCCTTTTAAGGAGTTCGTGTTGCATGCCTAAAACCAGC